TTCCTCCAGGTGACAGGGGGTGGAAGTCAAATAAATTGCAAAAATTCTTAATCTTATCAACAATAATCATTGATGGTGTCTTTTTTTCCTTTGGTTAACTCATTTACTCCCTGAGTGATTGACATGTGACTTCTCCATAAAATTTCTAGCTGTTCACAGAAGCTCACAAGAAATGAAAATGCAACATATGGGAATTTCCAGCAGGAATACTGATGTACCACTAAAATTAATAAATGGAAAGGGTGGTGAGGAGGTAATTTAACAGTGGACATCATTAGTAGTTTGTGAATGGGTTAACTAGGGGTTCAGTTATGATGAACATTAACAGGAAAGAAAGTGGAGTATCGCAATTATTTGCTTTGATAAGCATTTCTGAAATGTGTGTGTTAATCCATTCAAAATGTACATGTATGTACCCTGTCAAGAGAGGTTCTCTTGACTCTGTACATGTGTATGGCTCCCAACAGCTTCCACAGCTTTTTGTGGGCGATGGAATCAGAGAACAGATTGAAAAGAATGGTGTTGAGGTAGACACCACTTAAAAAGTTACAGGAAAAGCTTTTGACCCCTCTATTTTATTGTCTGCCAAGGGATTACAACTATGTGACTGGTCGGCTGTCCTATACCTCTCTAGAAAACTAGTGAAAATTATGTTCGGAAGCAAAATTGCTTTTTCAAAAAGCGAAAATGTTAAGGCATTGTAAAAGAATGGTGGGTAAATTCAGTAGAATTCAATTTGTGTTATTTTTGTGAAAAACCTTGTTTTGAGATGGATTAATTTAATAAAGATATTGAAAAAATTTTATCCTTCTTTGTTTATGGATCGGAGTGAGTTTAATAACGACGACCTGAATGATATATAGTCGAATCAGCGATGCTGCACATTTGAAGCCAAAATTATACTAATTAACTGCGTTCTCGGATGTATTACGTAGCTAAGTTTACTTAAATAAATGCTGCTACGATATAGGTGTTTTATTAGAATTTCAGCTCGTCGTAAAATAGTGAAACAACTTTCAGAGAAGTGTAATATTAGCAAGACTAAGGGCGGATCCGGACGACAAAAAGCGATAAACGTAACATTTGATCTATCTACAATCACTTTGGATTCTTTTAAAAAACTGTTTCGACATGAATTTTGTGTTAGCAAATTATGAATTATTAAATGGGTTGTAACAGGGCCTAAAAACCGTTTGTAATTTAATGATCTGTCATGTTACTTCAGTTTTTCGGTGAAAGAAAGACAAGATTTGCACACGCCATCACGGCAAACAAACGAACAGCCTCTCACAACTTCAGAACATACATTTGAATTTGCTTACACTGACTTTCTTTGTCACTTAAAAGTGGACATTCTTTCCTTACTTTATTTATGATCACTGATTGTTTTTGAAGGAAACGTCGTCATGATAGTCATGTTTCAAAGATTGCTTGGAAGCCCTTTGAAGTTAACCTTATCTTTACGCAAATAAAACTGTTTCGGTGAAGCCTCTCCCTTTCATTTGCTTCACCTCTTCTTTCTATACTATCTACAACTAATTTTTCAGTTTATAGCCGGGAGGATCTTGCCGTAATTGCAGCCCTAAAATATTCGGGTGTTTGAAAACAAATAAAAATAAAAATGTTGTTCACCGCAGGTCGGTCCGTATTATATACATTACATCAATTAACGGTTATGTCTGATAAAAGAGAAATTCTTGAGACGAGTTTTCCATCGAAGTAAACTAAACAAATTACCGAGTCATTTAATGATTAATGCGCCCGAAACCAAATGAACTGCCCATAGCAGAGAAGGCAGCTATTACACAAATCCAAACCAGTCATAATTACTCGTAATATGACCGCGTAAGAGGGACTCGCGGTGCATCAAGTCAAGATAAGATTCTTTGATAGAAGTATTACATTTCCAAGTAATTCAAGACTTCTCTGAGTTTGTGAATTAATGCAGATTTTGATGTCATCGTGCAGGATGTGGACCAGCCGGCTTTCGTTTATCTCCCTTCCCCCTCCCCCTTCACCCACGATTGTGTTATATGGCTGCGCAAATGAGTATTTCGACCATCCAAAGCTTACAAAAAATTAAATTATGAATTTTTAGTTGAACTGAAGCTTTTCAGACATTGGTTTTTTAATCTGTGTTCATCTCTGGTACGTGGGTTACTATGTTTATCTAAAGATAAATATACCCAACGTGCAAAACTGATTCTGATACGAAACGCCTCACGTCTTCAAATAAAGTGAGACTTTATTTGAAGATGTGATGCGTTCCGAGATTAATTTTCTTAGTCATTTCCGACCCCATAATGCTGTTTCAATGCATGCTGCCAAAACAAAATGGCCACTAGCTGAAGGAAATGCGGTCCGATCCAATTATTGGAATTAGTGAACTCGTTGGGATGCAAATGCACCGAAATAAGAGGGGGGGCAACGACTATTCGCTGACGGACAGAGAGAGCACTGGCACTCACAACGATATCCATTGAAAATTGACCACTCGGCTGAAAAGTTGCTGGTGAAGAAGATTACCATTTTTCACTTCTTCGTTTTTGTTTTGACCGTAAGAGTTTGATATCAGATCAGATGTTAAACTTCACTCAGGGACTCCAGTTACAATAATTAGCACATTTGGTTTACGTAGTAAGAGATTTGTGGTTTTTCGAAGACTAGGCCATTGCCATTTGTGAATTTTTAAGAAAGAGTTCGCCGCAAATAAATGATATGAGTTCATCGGTTCAAGGGAGTAAACGCCGTGGATAAACTCGAGTGCATGTATAGACGTCACCGCGTTTTGTTTGGGACTGCCGGTAGATTGATTATGGTTGCGAGTTTCGCCGTTGGTTTCTGTCACGTCTCTCCTCTTTCGCTGACTAGTGCTTCGTTTCTGTTTCGCCGTTCTACATTTAGAGTCATTTCTCTTGCAACTCAATTTCGACTTGACCGTGTAACTGTAGTTCAAAGGACTGTTCTTGTTTAGAGCCTTTGGGGGTCAGAAGCTCGTGTCTCATTGGTCAGCGACATGACCGAGTTGACAACCTTATTGATAAGTTGTGAAAATCATGGAAAACTTTAGGAGCCGAGAACTCACGCTTTATTTCTGCGTCGATTCCCTTAATTCGATCGAGTTCATAGGATATGTATAATTTAAGGGTTTGTTACAAACCTGACCAAAATGTTAACTGGCTATGAACGCGCCAAAGTGCGCAAGGCTACTTTGACATTCCCAGTACTTCTCCTTTTACGCCTTCTTATGCGAGGGTGGGCAAATAATCAATTTTCTGAGTTAATAGCAGCTTTTCCTCGGCAACCGATCGGACTATCGAAAAAGCTTTACACGGTTTTGCTTTCCATCTGCTAATTGAAACTGTGGAGTTTCTTTGGCCATGCGTGAACACCAGGGCAGGTGACTCAGTTTAACATGATTAGTTTTAGTTGAAGGGATAGCACCCGCTCACCATTAAACCAAGTATCTGAAATAATTATTTATTTGTATTTAAAATTTTTTTAGCTTTAAGATGGTATGTACTTTTGAAGGGTTTACATGAAAGCGACGCGTAAGAGAACGGTTTTACGGAATACACCCCTCAAAGTCCACAGAACTTTGCAGACCTAATTTTTCTCGTTTGTCTAGAGAGTGCAAACGAAATTAGAGCCGTAGGGTGATTTATCGAACGTAAAGACAAGCACTCGCTTCCCAATTCCTTGCTTGAGTATATAAACTAATATGAAAACTAAAACGACCATGGAGAGACTATGGTTACACTGTTAACACTTGCGGTAGCTCAGCATGTCCAAGTCGTGCAGTTGTTGGGTTCTATGCGGTAAGTTTCAGTTTTCCCATTCATTATTTCAATGACGGTAATGCTTGCGCTCAAAGAAGCGAGCCTAAATTCGGCAACTAAGTCATTGCTCCCGTGGAAATTCGCTTTAATTTAACTTGAATTGTTTCTAAGATGGCCGTAGGTTTCTGCCAAATTTTTTTCAAGTCGGTTAAGACATACCTCTTATTTAAATAATGGCATTAAAAAAGGCGGGGCACCGTACTCGTTTATCAGAAAATCACGATTTACATCATTAGTGAGCTCTCCGACAAATAATATTCCCCATTTTGTTAAATTTCTCGCGCTACTCACGCGTGAAAATCATGCGCGATAAAGATGTAGAATGTAATATAAAGGAATCACCTTGAAGATTAAATCAAGGATCAGTAGGTGTTTCGCGAGCTTTAAACGAATTTTTGCGTTTTACTTGTTATATAAAACGCAGAAAACCTTTTAAATCTCTATCATCTGATATGTCTCGCATCATTGAGAATATACGCTTAAGAAAACTGCGACCTTCAGGCAATCTTTTGCATCATCCATACCCTTCTCTAAGTACGTTTGAATTACGTTAGATTCCTCCTCTGAGTTATTTCTAGAAACATCTTCTCTCTTGTCTCTTTGTCCTTTTTAAAAGCGTTTTTTTTTCGCTCTTTGCACTCTGGTAAGTAGTGATCGGTATTCGTCGATCTAAATTCTTAACAGCTCTGAATCTTTCATTTTCGCCACTTTGCCACTTTGATTGATTTCCTCGTTATTACGTCAGTGAAAGATTGCAGTAATTACGAAAAAAAGCAATAAACCGAATATTCGAGCTATTTAAGAGGACGATACGTTGACAAATGAATGAGCGTCAGCCCTTCGTCAGAGCGATTGACGAAGGGCTAACGCTCGAAACGACAGTTTTTAAGCTCTTTACAGTGGCCAGTTTACGTCATCAACTCAGTTGATAATGCTAAATTACCCTGATAAGATGACAAGCCTGTTGTAGTACATTACTTTGAAGTTCTCCATTTGTATAAATGATAGGAGTTGTCAATTAATTGGTTTAAGTCCTGTACCTGTTTGAAAAAATTTATGGGGTATATAATCTAAAATTCAATTCATTCTATTCATGATCACTGTATGTAAGTGTATATGTTATGTTCTTTTCTAGACATACAAAGGAACAGCCCTACTTACAGTGTGAAGAGAGGATTTCCGAAGCCTGTAAAAGCTCCTTCTGATATTTCCTCTAATTGGTTGTTGGAAAAATCCCTATAACCATCAAATCACCAAAATAAAGCGTTAGCATAGAGCTGTTTGGTGATGCCGGGCGGAACTTTATTTTTTCTTTAGTAGTTCACTGTAACGCCAATATGCCATGTTAAGACAGCGAAGCGCGAAAAAGATGAGACGGTATTTCACTGCACACCAGGGGAAATACGAACAGATAACGGAGCAACAAAATGGCTGGGCGGAACGATCCAAAATTTGATTATTTTACATTTTCTTAGGCTTTCCCTTTTTGATTCTTTACTTCCCGTGATTGACCAGAACAGAATTTCTCCTTACAATATCAATACATCATCAAGCACTCAAAAGCTGAGAATAAAAAAAATATATTAATTAGGGGATTATTAGTTGATCGGATACCAAATCCTCCAAACTAACATCACAAGAATTGTATAGAAGACAGTAAGGAACATTACTAATGAGATTTTAAGTGCATCAGAATTTTTTATTGGTCACGAATAACACTTTATTGATGTCCTTTGTGTTGCTTTTGTCTTTCGTGCCGCGCTGTACGCGATCGACTCGAAGCTCGGATTAGGCCTTGGGAAGGATTTCGAAAACTAGGAGCTAAAGTAATCGGAAATTAAATAATCATTAAAAAAATAACCTATGATGTTATGGCTGAACACACTTAAAGAACAATCATCTTCTCGTTGATTGTTTATGTATTGAGCCTGGTTTCACGCGAGATTTTATTTCTAAAACTTCATTGAAATTCTGAAATGCTCCAAGAAAAGGTTGAAAGGCTATCTTAGATTCAAGTACTTGTACACTGTGAAAAAAATTACGACGCATACTCGTATTTAAAAAGCTCTGTTATTTGGGGATAGCCCCCTGACGTACTTCTGAGCGCTCCAAAGTGTTCTTGAAGTTTTCAGCCTGCAGCTTGACATGGTGGTGAAATTCCATTAACTGTTAGTTGTTGCCTCCCAAGCGACGTCCCAAATGTTGACAAAAACGACAACGCAAATAACTACTGCAGAAAATCATTTGATTGAAATAAACTGCGATCACTGCGCAAAGACCAATGAAATGAACTTTATAGCTGGTTTGAAGGCTTGGAGACATTCTGTATGTGCGTCAAACTGAGTATACTGCAGGAAAGGGATTATGGTGACCCCGCCCTATTGCAAGTTCGCCCTTATTACCCTTTTCGAGTTCACCGCCACCTTTATCAGTTTGTCCCCAAATCTCTCGACTTGTTTCCCTATCACAGAGCCGTATTTTTTTCATGTCCAAGTCGTGATATTATTTGCGACAAGATGATTTTTTCACATGCAAATCCTAGCCGTGTTAAAAATGCATGACCTATGCGGCATGAGTAATGCAAAGCCGCTACGTTACTAATCTAACGAGTCTCACACAGTTTTGTGCTATTTTGCGCAGCAAAATTTAAGAACTTGTCTTGCCATAGTTTCCAATTCTCCGCGAATTCTCCTTTTCACATCTTGAATACCACGGAGGCATAACGTAGTAAAAAATCGTCGACGGCGAAACCTCTGACGACGGTTTACTTGAATTTGAACCGGAGATTTCAACCTTATCAGACATTTGTACTCAGTTTTTTTTTTGGACAAATTTTGAACTATTCCACCAAGAGATACAACATTACGTCAAAGAGGGTAAACCACACAAAGAAGTTCATCGATCAAGGTTTTAGTTCCATTCATTTCATACCGAAAAAAGAAAAAATGCATCACACTGGTCACCTACATAGGTAACAAAAGCTGAATAAAGTCGAGCACATGACAACTTAAAGTTGATTCAGTTATTTTGTGGAAAACAAAGCTGCAGAAAGTTGAGACATGATGTGTCCATTTAAATGTTTGGTACAAAGCATTAGAAGAAAACGGTGCATGATGAAAGATTCTCGAGTTCTATTTAACCTTGAAAAATAACTTTGAACTGGCTAATACTTACGAGTTTAAGTTTGTGTAAATTAGAAAGTTTTTACTGATACACCGGCTATCTTTGGATTATATTTTTTTCATAATAAAGGTCTAATTACGACCTCCCACTAAAGGATCGCCTATTTATTCCTCAATAAATCCCCAAAGATGTTAAGGCTTTAATAGCGCCTGGTTAGATTGACATTAGATTTACATTCTTCCAAGAAATAAGTAGGCAAATTAAACTCCTGTTAAGTCTCTCTTGGCTCGTTCCAATTCCAGTTGATGCTCATTATTGGTATCAAAAAATGATTGACTGATATTTTCCCTGTGTCCGTTAGTCAGTCAGCTCAGAGGAAATTCCTCCGCCCCGCCCCCTCACCCACTCGAGGTAAGACTTCGGTTAAGCGCTTGCATGATCAATAACGCCTCCATTCCGTCACCGAGAGCGACAATCTTACTGTCTAAGTGGCTATTTATCTTGAGCATCCCGTCATGATGCTCGACTAAAGGTGTTCACGAAGTCATATCATTTCTGTCAGTGACGCCGTACTTTCCACAAACTAGAGTGCCTGGTGCATGTTATGGAAATCATTGAGGAACAAAAGTTGGGGTCACATGATGAGCCGCAATTGCCATGAGAAAGTTAAATTATGGTCAAAAAAATATCTGAAAAAATGTGCAATTTTGCCAGAGGTAACACTAGAATCAAGAGTATGATACCAAGCTGGTGTGAACTTTCAAGATCTGAGCGAAATAGTCAAATCTGCTGTTACTTTAAATGAAAAGGCCCTGTATTATGATAGACGGATCAAAATCAACCAAAAGAGACTAATGAACTGTTAAAATTTGGAAATCAAACGATATATAACACGGAACTGACCAATTAAAGGACCGAACTTGTTCAAATAACACGTGACTATGCATGTGCTTGATTTCGTTTGATGACTTACGCCCACGTTTATAAAACGTTTATCTCAGAAGATGACGTTATTTCTTTCGACAATCTCATTTACCCGGCGGATCACGCTCAATGACGGGTAAATTTTCACGATGTCCTCACCTTTACCGTATGCACGATGAAAGAGAGGCTAGTATTTTGTTTTGTTTTGCTTTGTTTTTTTTATGACAGAAAGAAATGATGGTTTCCAATTTCGCGGGCTTAGATCTACGTCGCTTAATGGTTTTCACCAGGCATGTACGGCCCCCTCGCTGTCATTCCTGTAGGCAACACCTCATGGGTTGGGGAGGAGTCAGCTCAGCATCGATGCACCCTTTCTTCCTCCCATTTCATCCAGACACTTACCTGGGTAAGGTGTAGACCTTGATCTACTTTTGGTCTCATCAAACAATTATAAAATCAAAGTTTAACAGTCTTACTTACAGCGTCAGATAATAAAAGCGGGGGAGGTAAATTCCGCTAAAAACTTCTGAAGATAGATTCTTTAATTGGTTGTGAGACAAGTCCCTATAATCAACAATAACGACAACAAAATGTAAGCTACGAACCATGGGATAACGTTCCACATAATGAATAAAAGTGTTTGACTACATCTTGATTTGATTTGACTAGTTAGGGCTATTTTTATATCATGGAATATATCTTCATTGCATAAAATTTAACTTGGCTTTAACCGCACTGAAGCTGTTTATTGATGTAAACTTATCCTGGGGCTGAATAATATTGTTTACTTGGTATTTTCTGAAGGAGGTAACATCTACTAATCTAACTAAAAGTAACAATTTCAAAATCACGAGACGGACGATTTTTAATTAATTGGGTGGAGTTGAAATGAAATTTTAAATTTAGGGAAGTATTAAAAAGAATGTTAAATTAACTGCATGTGTGTGCTATCCTTTAACCTCTGAACGGTCCTTCATTTAAACATTTTACGCAGTAGAAAAAAATCCTTCATTTCAAAATTATATCCAACTGCACAAAGTAGAGTACAAATAAGGCGTGAATAAAGCACAAGTGAATCACAAATATCCTGCGATATTGTACAGTTGGTTATTTTGTACTAAAAAAATGACCTGTTTAACCGGTCTGCTGCACGCGCTTCGCTTCTCTAACCGCTTTACTTTTCCTGCCTTATGAAAAATGAGCAGAAACACTTGGCAGAAAAAAAAGTTAGATAATAAATAATTTATTGGACATTTTGGTGTGTAGTATTGTTAAGTATTTTTACTCGTTGCGCATGTTTTATACATTTGTAATAATGTGCTTGATACTGGTGCTGCATGAAAAGATTTATGTACCTCCCATCTACTACCGGACGGGCGATTTCACGGGCGAATTAAACACAATAAACGGTAAGGTAAAAGTTTAACCTTCTACCTGAAAAACTGACCTTCTACCTGATTGATTTATCACAACGTAACAACAGTTTTGGGAAGACAGTGGAAACACGCATGACCGGTCCAAAGGTCAATCACAATGTCGCAACGCAACAATAACTAAGTAGTGTCACGAATCAGCTTTTGAATGATACGCCCCGCCTGTATTATCTGCATGCCTCACATGCGAACGCGTGGTTCTAAATACTCCTATCGTACAACGCAAATGAAGATATTCACGCTCCCCGTTCAGACACCCATAGCCTGATTATCACTGAGTGCGAAGTTGTCCGCCCAGTTCTCTCCTCTACCCGTCCAAAATACCTCGCACGAATTCGTGTTCAGGGTGTGTTACTCGGGATGTGATTGGATAAGTCAATTGTGCGAAATTATACTTATTGCAACAACATAGAATTTCGACACGAGATGAGGACGAATCTCGTTCATACTCATTGCTTTTCCTTGGTTTTTTAATGAGCCTGGTTATTTGATAACGCTGCGTTAAGAGTATCGGATGTCTATCACTGAATGGTAAGGCAGAATTTTCTAGTCACCCACCAACTCTTACCGTTCCTTGTTCATCGATCGATCATCGATCGTTGATCATCGGATCCAACCTTGATAAGGAACTTTTACTTTTGATTTTAGCGTTCCATTCCTTACGGCTGAGACTTAATTCCTGAATTTTATCTGTTGTTATTCTTGTAAGACACGCTTTTCCGTTTCTCGTAGTTCCGCTCCTGGGGTGATGACTATTTTCAACTTGTTCTTCATGAAAGTCCTTCTCATATAATTTATCAATCTGACTGCCTCTCCCAGTCGGAGAACCTTGACACGCCGTCGATGCGGCTAAAATTCATCCTGACTGCAGTCGTGCGCACAATAGCCTTAACTTGAGGTTCTCCTATCTGAATATCAAGACTTTCTCCGCCTACAAATGGAAATTTCTCTCCCATAGGAATACAGGCCATCTGAGACAATTAGATTTGATTAAAGATTTTGATTAGTTCCTCGTCATTTCCTCGGCACCTCCCTGAGCCGTGATCGGCTGGAGTATTCTTGGCGTTATTGTATCGAGAATGTGGAAGCTATATTCCTAAAACTTGTGAGTTTGACTGAAGAGCAGCGTGAGGCTGGAAAGTAAAATGTTCACCGAAGCACAGATTAATACTGCGAAATCAAATTTGTTGGTTCTTTTTTTGATAACTTTGGAGACGGCTGAGTAATCCCAGTGGCAAAGAAGTATGTGTGAACGCTCACCGAAGCACAGTTTAAGACTGCGAAATAAATTTTTGTCTTTTTGTCTTTTTTTATCTTATTAGTAGAAACGGGTACTAATCACAATGGCAAAGGAGCATGTGTGTATGCAACATATAGAGACAGATCAGTTTGCGCAGTGGCGTGTACGTAGTCGTCGTTATATCGCCGGCTCAAGCTGCCTCTATTTCAGTTCTATTCGCTCTGTGCTGTTGTTTAAATCGCTCCCTATTTTGTCCGGATAATTTTATTTCCTGTGTATTTCGTGTTCTAAACATTTATGAATGCCAAAAATCTCGGATGGAGTAGATATCCATCGTACAAGCTATCAGTCAGCGTTTAGGGTCCAAAATAGACTTTTCCAATCCCGCCATCCCGCCGCTATTATTCATCCCATCCCACCATTCCACCGCAATGAACATTTCATCCCGATCCCGCCTGGTTAAACGCAAGTTGCTCGAGTTCACCGCCGATGGACAAATTAAAGCCTTTACAGCATTGATAATATACTCACATTATGCTGAAAAGAAAAGATTTTAAAAACACTCGGTGTGATGAAGTGGGACAAAAACTCCATCCACGGAAGAACCAACAGAAAAGCTACCGTGTTACATAGACAAAATTCTTCAGCCAACAACAGAAGTCATATCTCAAAGATACAACAGATTTCATCGACTTAATAGAAAAGACAAAACTTCCGAAAGAATTGATACTCGTTTCAATGGACGTTACGGGTTTATACACAAAAGAACGCCCCAACATCCACCCCCATTCCAAAGTGCTTACTAGAGAGTTAATTTAGAGAAAGCGCTAAGGTTGATTTTGCAGGAAGACTCATCCCAATTCAACGAACAAAATTACTTGCAAACGCACGGAGCCGCCATGGGCCCCAAAATGGCAGGAGCTTTTGCAACTATCTTCATGGATAAAACAAAAACAGATATGTCATCAATCAGTTCTTTGAACAAGCAAATAAACCCCACCAATAATCAAATTAACAACCGAAATATTTGTTTCAGAGGCTACTTTCTGTAAGGGTGAAAGATTCAACAGGGAGTCAGTTCTCGACATGAGAACCCACTTCAAACCAAGAGATACATTCCAGTACACATTCTATACAACGTGTCACCCACTGGGAGCAAAGAAAGGCTTCGTTAAAGGCGGAACGTTACGACTCCCTTGGACTACTTTTTCAAAAATAAATTTGAAGGGAACATTAAACAGTTCAAAGTATACCTGGCTGAGAGAGACTACCCGAAAAAGGTTTTTGACAACCCACTCTCAGAAGAGAAATTTAAACTGGACGTAAACAGGCCCTCCTCCAACAGGGAAAAACAAGTAATAAAATCTTGCCCTTTATAATAACAACACAATACTATTCAACAGTTCCACACCTTAAAGAAATCATCCCAACAAGTGGCAGTTAGTACAGCAACAATCGTTGCTAAGAGAAATCCTCAAATAACCGCCGTTACTACCATACAGAACGGGGCGTTCACTCAGAAATACTCATGAGAACAAAAATATAACCATTGAGATTCGTATAAACACTTGTGCAGAGAAAACTGGACGTACTACGGAATCATTCAGGCCTGTCAACCTCAATTTACACGGAAGCATTAATTAAGCCCATTTCTAAAGTAAATAAATATTTTTATGATCCTGCCTATACGTGTCCTATCCTCTATTCCGCCTTCGAAAAGGATCGTATCCCGGTATTGCCTTCCTATTTTCATCCCGCATCACGCATTTAAAGATCTTACAGATCTCGTATCCCACATCCTGCCTCGATTTTAAGCCTTAGCTTCTTTTAAGCCTTGGCTTCAACCCACCATCTTGGAATCTTATCTTCTAAAAGAAGGCATAGCGACTTTGTTCGTCGGAGATCTTACACACCATACTCCACTTTCAACCTCACTCGCCTTCGTTCAGCAGCTAGTGGCGACATTAGTTCGAGTCACGACTTAAACAACAAATAGTTGTACTTTGAAGATGGAACCATGGCAGCCATTCCAATCTTGCTCAGATTAAGTGCGTATCCAGTCTTCATCAGACAACAACAACAGCTACTCATCTGACTGTGTGCACGCTGAATGCTCGCTCTATTGCCACCAAATCTGCATTATTTGTTGATTCCGTCTATTAATGTAATGCTGACTTATTTGTAGTCACTGAAACCTTGTTATCGGATAACGATTCTGTAATTTGCAATGCGATGACTTCACCTGCCTTCAAGCTATTTATAGTTGCCCCGAAAGGGCCCGTGAAATCATGGGTACTCTTCTTCCTTTTATTTTTTTAACAGCTTTATTGGGTATGACTCATATAATAATAATAAAATAATACAATGTACGATAACAATCGAAAATACAGGACACAGCAAGAACAATGAACGAGAGAGCAAAGCAGGCAAAAACAGTCGTGGACCTATTAGGCCTGATGTGAACGGGACACAAAGACCCGTGTGAGGCACCGCCCGTGAAATAAAAGAAGGAAACAAAATCATGAACATTGTGATCGGTAGCACCATTCAGACATTTGAACAAGAAAACGAGGAAATTTGACATTTAAAAGAAATAAAACGAGATTAAAAAAATAAGCTGCTTTTTGGTCGGTTTTTTGCGAACTCTAATTTCGTCTAAGAACGTCTTTTGAATTTTCCGACTATTTCGTCTCTACCAAATCATCACGACTTAGACTTTTCATAATAAATCGTCGACCGTCCTTTAAGAACCAATCCTGTGACTATTATCGGTTTTGTTGAGGAATTTTCAGACTTCTTGGAACCTATCATTTTATCTCGTGATCCTCTTTTCTTAAGTTTCGATATCTGCGTTGATGATCACAATAACACGGCGGCTTGTCATTTCTTTG